CACCCCCTCCCCTCGTTCTCTATTTTGGATAAAGTAGCTGGGAGAGCAGTCAGGTCTGATTAAGTCTGCATTTGGGTACAGTGTGTTCCTGGACACACATCTGCGAGCGAGCCATCACACACGCTTCGGAACACTGGCAGAACACCCAGGCCTGCCGGCAGCTGATGATGTCATCACTCAGAAGGGGCAGAGCTGGCGAGCCGCCAGAGTCTCCCAAAAGAAAAAAAAAAAAAATCAGAAACGATTTAAAATGAGAGAGACAGAGACAGGAGAGGAGAAAAGAGGGGCGGAATGCAGACTTTAAGCCCTAACTGCTGTGGGAGGGGAGGGGCTGAGGTGGAGGGGAGAGAGAGTGTGTGTGTGTGGGGTTGGGGGGGGGACAGGTGCATCTGAAAGGCCGCTGCACTGTATCAAGAGGGCTGATCAGCCCTGAACGCTCCGAGTTGAGTGTGTGAGAGTCACTAAATACCTGTGTGCGACAGCATGTGCATCCTGAGCCGCATGCTGTCCTGGAAGTGTCTGCCACAGTATTCACAGCTGTTGCCCTTCTCCTCATTATGCAGCCTCCTGTGAAGAGACCAACACTGATGTGAGAGTGATAACGGAGATGAGAATGTTGTGAGAACACACTTGTAATAATTTTGTTTATTAGACGAGGACAGCACTCACTGATTCAACCCTTCCAAAGCAAAAAAATTATAAAAAATAATTTAAAAATAGATGTAAATGAGCCCCATTTAGCACATTGGTATAGCGACTCCTTTCTGAGCCTTTTCTTTGAGGCCTCCCAAACCTGGAAGCAGCATTGTCCACATAACAAGAGACGGATGTTTTAATTCTGACAAAAAAAATCCCTCCCTGAATGCAGCATCATTAGTCTGAGAGGCCCTCGGAGTTGTGAATCACAACGCATGAATGCTAAAAGTACACAGACAATAGGATATCTGGCTAATTTCAGAGTGCAGACATACGCGTGCCTCCACCCGCCAGCACTGCACGCACACACAAAAATACACAGTCACATCCCCACAGAGTAAACAACACACACACGCACATGCATACACACACACACACACACACACACACACACACACGCTTCTCCTGCGACTGCAATGAAAAGAAGATGATTCGCTGGAGCTTCGCTGAAGCTTCGCCGGCAGCGAAACCTATCATATCATATCACACACAATCCAAGCATGCGAGGCATCTGCACTGTTATCCTTATATCACCCCCCACCCCGCCCCCCAGTCCCCTCTACAGCAGAGCAAATGGACTAAAAAAAGAGGCTGAGCTTGAACACACTGAATGGGTAAAAAGAATTAGAAACTTTAGCTTTAATTTAACACAATCAGATGAAAACGGAAACAAAATTCAGTTTGACTTCAGGTTTTAGTTCTTTGTTGCTGGGGAAAGTTTATTTCTTTATTTTTTTCTGCAGTGTGTGAGCCACTAATAATAAAGCAAGAAGAGACAACTGTTGCTTTTTATATTTACGTTTAACTTCTCATCTCCCTCCTTTTATTGTACGCTCATAAATAAGGTCAAATTTATTTTCTGGTGACCGCTTTGATGATCCTGAAAGCACCAAATGAAATTCTCGTGGTTTTTTTTTTGTTTAGTTTTTTTTTTTTCAAGCTGTGCCTGGAGACACTTTCTAAACAACACCAGAAAATGTCAGTCTGCAGATCAGGTGTATGCTCAGTGACCTGGTTACAGACCTGCAGCAACTTCATTACGTCCTCAAGCAGCAGCACCAACGCAGCTCCTTCAACCTGCGGACATCCGTCAGTCTCTCTGTGTAAAGATCGTGCATCACTAACTATCCCACAGGATGCATTTTTCCCCCTCCTTTTTTTAAAACTATAAAGTGGCATGCAGCTGAAATGTCAGCCGCAGSCGCCAAAAGGGGAAGGCTGTGATCCCAGCCATGGGTTAGCAGCGCATTAAGACTCGTCATGTTCAGAAAGATTAGCGATGAGTCAAGTGCTGCCTTGTCCCCCCTCCCGAAACAAACATAAACATCTGCCATCAAGTTAATGAGTTATTCGTGGAAATGCTGGGCACGGTTACTTTTTAATTTTTTTTTTTCTTGCATCTGGTGACAAAACACGAAATCGCGAGCTCATAAATAAAGCAAAAACAATCAAACAGAGGAAGAAGCACTGAGAACAGAGCGGGGAACAGAGCAGAAGTTATCCATCATGTTGCTGAGGCGTCCAGCCCGGTCCCTGCTGAGAGACTTCTCTCTGTTGATGCAAAGGAATGCATATCAAACAGCCTGGGAGAGACACTCTGTTGTGTAGACGCACACGTTTGTGCAAATAATCAAAAGGAATTTTTAAAATATAGGGCTTTTGTAAATAACGGCGCTTTGTCACGCCGAGGCCTCTTTATATCAATCCCCTCACAAAGAGCCGATTTAAAACTTCCACGACACGTCGAGCAGTTAAGACGAGTGCAGGTGTCCCTCCGAATAAACGAATGTGTTTACTGTTGCTCCTTCCAGACTTTGATTCTAACAATTTAAGGACATTAAAGTCATCTGCGCTGCTTGTAAAGATTGTTTAAAATAACTTTAGTCATGTTGTTTATGCTCACATCAACCTGCACACCTTTCTCATCCATCTGTTATTTTACTATCAGCACTCGGTGGAAATATAAAACGTTCCTGAAACAAGCTGTCAGTATCATCATTAGACATTAACCTTGAGTTTGGATTGTTGTTTATTTATCTGAAATGCACCCAGTAAGACTTAAGTCTAAATAGTGTTGATGTGTATCTACCTGTGCTGCTCTACGGCCTGCCTGCTGTGAAGCTGAAGGCCACATTCACCACAACACTGYTGGCCTTGAGTCTGGCTCTCGTGCCTCATCCCTGCTGCAAACTGGCCCAGCCGGCTCAGGAGCTCCCTATGGAGCAGACCTTGGTGCAGCAGGCCGCTATAAGCCCTTGGATCCAGCGGCACGGCCAGAGACGGGGCCACTGAAACGGACACCGGCAGGCCCTCGGCTGTGTGTTTGGAGCCCACAGAGTAAATGGAGGCCAGGTGTTTGTCAGCGATCCCAGGGAAACTGTCCAGARCGCTCCCCACCACTTGTCCCCCGTCTTCGGGGCCCGTGTGCAGCTCTCGAGCGCTGGTGATGACGCTGCCCCTCAGGGGCGTCCCCGGGCCCTCGTCTCTCGGCTGGTCGGACAAACAGCTTCCCTCCCCGGCGCTGGAGGACCTGCCCTCACAGCTGCTGGCATCGTCCACCTGCATGCGCTCCGACTTGATGCTTCTGACAGCATCCAGAGACGAGTCCTGGGACGCGTCTTCACTGTGACACTGAGCCTGCTGGGAGCTCTCCATGTCGACCTCAGCCTCCAGATCTGGAGCTGCTTCAGGGTCTGGACCAGGAGAGCCCCTCTCTGTCATGTGGTACAGAGCCAGGTGGTGCAGGGCGGTGGGAGTGGTGCAGTTGCTTCCGTCCTGYATGGAATGCTTCTTGGACATCAACATGTGCCTCCAGTGCCTGACCCGGCCRTGGTCACTGTGGTTCCCCGAGCCGTGGTTCCTCACAGCCACCTCCTCGCTCTCCTCCGCCTGGATGGTCTCCAGCACCTTCAGGCACTGCTCCTCCAGGTACTCGATCTCCAGGATCTCTGCCGCGTACAGCAGGTCGTCCAGGTCCTCGGCCGTGGCCTGCAGCGAGGCGGTGTAGGCGTACTCGAGGATCTGCTGGAAGGTCTTCGGGGACAGGAAGTCCAGGGCGTAGCGCAGGCTGCTGCGGTGGAACAAGATCTCGAACATCTTGCTGGTGCAGGCCAGGACGGTGCGGTGGGCCGGGAACTCCTGGCCGTCCACCGTGATGATGACATCACACAGGGTGCCAGTCAGGCGCATCTGGTTGGCCCGCTGCAGGAGCGTGCTGGAGTGAGTGGGATTGTTGAGCTGGAGAACACCCATGTTTGTCAGAGTCGGACCGCCGCATGAGGTTGTAGCTGTCCCGCCTGCTTCACTTTCCTTCGGCTGGTTGCAGCTCTGTGGTTTGGGTGGTGGGGGAAAAATAAATAAATAAAAAAATAAAAACAGCAGATCATTAGAGTCAGACTGGCTCACAATAAGACATAAAAGGCAGTTAATTCCACTCCAATGGACACTTTTATCTAAGCTTAATCAAAAAGAATATTTTTGAGACATTACGAAGCAAAAGCAATGCATATTTAATGGCTTTCTGCGAAATCTAAAGACCCGAGTGATTTCTTCAGAGGTCTTGTGTGATGCACCCTACATGTTTATGTATTTTAATTAAGAATCAAAGGCAGACAGCAGGTCGATAAGCGCAGAGCAACAGTTTCCATTGCAGGTGATTAGTCTGAGGTCTAGTTGAGAGCGGTCACGTCGCTGTAATAGCGTCTGCATACTGAGAGGTGACGGTTCAATTTGTCAGGCTGCTCACACACACTCTCTCACACACACCTCTCTGCTTTCAACAGGTTGGCTCACTTTCCCCAAACGCCTCCATAAGAGCAGATTATTAGAATTATCTGAAGTCGCGCCAAGTTTTATTCAACTCTCGCCTCCCTTAAAAAATGTTTTAAGGTCAAAAATCCAAATCCGGGTGTCAGTTTTCCTCCTGAAAACCTGGATGATGCTTCATGTCTGTGAGGTGTTCGGGATCGTCGGAGCGCCTCGGGTGATGCTGACAGACCGCATCCTCCTCAACTGCGCGCAAATCTCGGAGCGCATCAGGTGCGGACGCGCAAATGCGCTTTTATTCCCGTTTTAAAARCACACTGAGACAAGTGGAGCTGTCTGTCCGAACAGAACTGACCCAGTTCGTCCCAAATGGCTCACTGGGTTTCACATTCAGCTGAACACTTTCAGACACAGTTAAGTTTCTAAAATCCTTAAGAGGGGAAATAAAGGGCGGCGGTGAAACTTGTGTTCACGTCTAGACGAATCAACAAGAGGGCGACTAAATCCGGCGTGGATCAGGAATAATAATAATTATTATAATTAACCTGAGACTAAGTAGTTCACCGAAGCGGAATAAACTGGAATAAATTAATTTGTCAGAATAAATAGAATATGAAAAGAAAAGGCAGCTGTCAGAGTTTGTCTCACCTCTGGTTCCTGACGTCCTCCGCTGATTTATCCAGCCAACATCATGCTTACACATTTCACAGAACCCGCTCCAAACTCAGTCCTGCTCCAAGGAAGCAAATCATCTCCCTGCCGCCAAACGTCAATCATCCGGCACTTCCGGCGAGGAGTTTCAAAGTAAAAGAGTCAAAAGTGTCAAATAAAATGATCCAATAATGTTAGGCCTACAGCAGATTTTACAAAGATCTGTGAATTGTGTTGCTAAAAAGGAACTATTAGAAGTAAAGGAAATTGTTTACATTTGCAGACCATTAGATTAATTTATAAATGATTTATGATTTCTGTATTTAACTAGTGGTGTCCCAATAATAGTTTTTTATTTTATTTATTTTTTACTAGACTTGAGTTCAAGTAGCCAAGTATTTCATTTTGGGTACTTGCAGTACTGAGTACCTCCTGATAGGAGTAGTAAATGTGTTGCTTTTTGAAAATTTGCAGAATAATTTAGCACAATTTCTCAKAATAATGCAACAGTTAAAAGTCAAAGTATCACACGATATTGATGTCTGTGGCTGAATATCACGATGCATCAGTTGTGTACCAGTCGCAGATACTCATATTTGWAAAATCACCCCAATGCTTGAAACCAATTCCACTTCAGTTATTTGTCATCATATTATTTGACTCTTTGCCAGGCCTGTGGGGAGAAAATGTCCTTGGTTGGAGACATTTTAAGACAAACAAAGGTGATGTTAACTCATTTGCAATGTTTATAACCTTTGTTGCTGTCAACCCTGWCTGCCTGTTAGCAAAATATGTCATGAAACAGTGGATGTTTTAATGAAACTCTCCAAAAATCAGATTTCGTTTAATTAAATAGCGCAGGTCACACACACACAAAAAAATAAGTAAAACATTATGGGGCACTGTACAATATATATATATATATATATATATATATACACCAACAACAAAAAAACAATCATTTTAACTTAAGCCAGCAGCTTGCGTTGAATCTTCACTTGATCAGTTTCTCATCTTGAGCACTTTAGCAGCAGCACTATAGTTTTTTTTTATTTATTTATTTTTTGCTCTGCAACACCTTTGCACAAACAAAAGAATAGCTAATTTTGTAGCGTTTATTGTTTTAGTTTATTCAGATACTCTCCCGACATCTCGGAGTTTTAATTTGAAATCAACTCGTCAGACTTCCTGTTTTGTCCTGTTTGTCCTCCGCGGACTTGACAGCCATCAGCTCATGTCCACGGGGACGTCACGGCTGTGAGAGCTGTCTCTCCATCACAGAGACGCGTACAGGACACGAGAACACGAGGACTGATTGAGTTTCCTCAAAAACAAGCAGAGTTGGTTCCGTTCAGAAGCTGTAAACACGAGTTCTGCTCGTTAGAAAGGGAATAAATGAATTTGGGTAAAAGAGGAAAAGTCTGACTGAAGCTGGGTGCCAGACCAGGTCACTGTTGTTGACACTCTGTTGACACAACACGGGTTATGTCACACCAGGGCTACTAATGACAGTTAAAAATATCAAGACCTCACGAGGAAATAGTTTGATATTCAAGCCTGGAAGTTTTATTTACTCCAGGAACAAAGTTGCGTCATGTTTTATGTGTTTATTTGCGTCAAATCTTCCTGAAAAAGCTTTATTGATAAGTTTTTATCTTACATAGCCTGGCTGTAATGTAACATTTCTGTAAATGATCCTGTGCTCATGACATGAAGGTAAAACCATGGAAGACTTAAACACGTTTTTACTGCCACCTACTGTCCAAAACACGTCATTACGCAAACCCAATAATCTGAGACGAGCTCTCAAAGTAGAAAAAAGTCAATTAATATAAAGAAAAATAGGCCAAGACAAAATTAGATTCAAAACCATTTTTATTTTGTAAATGGGTTATCACTCAGACTATACACAACAAATATTTTCTGAGTTCGACCCAATAAAACCAAAAGGAGCATCCAGAGACGGAGGAGTAAAATGTTCTGGGAACGGGAGTACAAGGAGTGAAATGTTTTGTTCTTTTACACTTCTTAGCTCTTTAACATTACACCTATTGTCTAAAGCTTTACAAAAAGTAATTGTTCTTCTATTGCAGGTGGGTCACTTTGTTTCCTGCCATCAGTTTCCCTGAACCTGTCAGGCAGTTGCTCTTGGTGAGTGACTTGTTATACAAAAAAGACGAAAAACTCAAAAAGAAATCCAAAAAAAACCACGTTACAGAACACTTGAATAACAACAAGGGGAGAGAAATGAAAAGTGTGTGTAATTATTCCAGAACGAGCCCCGCAGGGAACACACAGAAATCAATATGAGAACAGTTTTCTCCCTTACAAACACGGGCACATCTACGTGCCTTGTAGTTATACTGACTGAATTCATGCCAAGGCCCAAAAACACCTTCCTTCACTACAGCTGGCAATATTTAGTGCTGTGATCAGAGACGGACAGTTTTTATACACTACACGTGTTATAATGACCACATCGGTCCACTTATCATACTGTTGTTTCTAATAATACATCAAATAAAAAATAGGCTTCCTCACGACGAAGCTCTTCAGGTTATCATAGAAACTGATGACGAGACGATCTACTGACACACAGGTACGGTGCACAAGCTTTGCAGGCAGGAATGGAAAATAAATCCTTGTCAGTTTTAAATAGTACAAAATGCTCTCCAGACGTTTCCCTTCAAATTACAACCCAAACTACGGAACCAGAGATTTGATTTAAATTGAGGACAAACTCTGGCTGTCGTGGTTTTTTACCTCCAAAACACACGAGGCGTAAATTTATCTCTATCGCACAACATTCAGTTACTCCAGAGGTCTTCGACCCTTGGCTGAGAATCTGCTGTTCTGCTGGCAGTTTGTAGTCTTTCTGTGATCAAACCTGCTCGACAAGTTTTATTAGCAAATTGTTTTAACAGCTCTAAGATAAGGCAGTGACAGATTGAATAAATTTTATCTTTAAAATGATCCAAATCTTATCCTGAACTCTCTCTGTGTACGGCAGGGATTTCCTGGTCTTTTCCTTCACCTGCTGTGGAATAGTCTGGCTTTTGTCTTCCTTTACAGTTAGACACTGAATTTGGGCTTCTCTTTTGTCAATGCCAGCATATATCAGAGATTAAAAAATCTCCACGACGGACAAAACAAATCTTTGAAACAAACTTCGTAAAAACTTTACAACCACTTGCAGGTCAGACATGCAGAACAAGCTATTTAGAGACTAGCTCACAAAAATGTCCAACTTAAACAAAAATAATGCCAACAGTTTCAAACCCACACAGTACAACATTAAAATAAGAAAAATAATTTATATATTTATATATAGTCCTTTTTCTTACATTTATATTTCTCATAATAATCCAGTACTTGTGCGCAAATGCAACTCAAACTGCGCACGAGTCGAGATTTAAAGATTTATCAGGCGATACTTATAAGCAGAAACTGTACCTGATCGGTTAAATAAAACGAGTTAAAAAAATTAAATAAATCTCTTATGACTTAAAAATAAGTTCCTTGGGTGTGATAAACATTTCATGAATGGAAACGAGGAGCAGAGTCAAAGTGCACTCTAACCAATAAACACAACAGTGTTGTTTTCAAAGTGTTGTTTAAGAGCACTACAAATAAGAAGCTGTGCAGTGTTTTACTCTGGTTGGTGCTGGGAAATGCTTTAGATCGGGCTTGCGTTGGCCCGGTCCCATCATACTTTGCTCTCTGTGGTATTTGTCTGTATGACACTGTTGTGTGCTGTAGTGATCAGGGTATTTGGTAAGTCTCCCTCCTCCAGTTTGCCTTTCTCATCAGCAAAAAACTTCCTGCAGTGAGAAGAAACAACAAAGTTTCAAATTAGAGATGTTGAGGTGGGCGGTATGAGAAACAAACAGCTTAGTTGAACACAGTCTCAATGACATTTTTACCCAAATATGTAAGAAGACACTGGATATTTTGGGATCTTCTTACATATTTCTTCACCACCTTGACAACAGTCAGATAAAATAAACAGATAATGACATCCCCACATACCAAACTGGCATCCCTAAACTCACAGTAAATGTTTAGCAATTACATATTTAATCAGTTTAGTTCTACTTCAATGAGACGATAATAGGACAATAATGAGCTCTGATTTAATATCCCTGTTTATTTTAAATCATTTAGTACATTTTCTAGCAGCCGCCTGCAGCTCTTTCTGCAGCTCAGAGCAAGAAAGCAGCAGTCGAGTCTCGCTTCTTTTTTCTCAGTGAGGATTTAGGGAACACTTAAAGGTTTACAGTTCCARCCTGAGACAAAGCATCTTTTAATCAATAGGAGCACGTTTCCGACCGTTACTATTTAACTGCCTTCTACAGAGATGCTTGTTACGGCTTTATTCAGACATGACCTGACTGCTGAGCAAAGAGCCACAAAGCAGCTCTGCCTGAGGAGGATGAGGAGTGCAGCGGTTTCACAGAAAAAAAAAAGCTTTTAGAAAACAGAAATGCCTCCTAATAACAGTGATGCACACAGATGCAACTTTCTGCTTTCATCCTAAGAACTGAGCTGCCTGGACTAAAATGTCTGACATTTAAAAAATAAAATAACAAGAGATTAGTTTAAGGCCTTTTCTGTCCATTTATAAGTTGTGTAAAAGAAAAAATACAGAAAAGGAAGCATCGGGTTCTGTGAATACGGTTGATGTTGGGATTTTATTCAGTGATTTAAACTAGATAACTAAAATCTAAACAATAATTAGGACAYAACTTATATATTTTAAATGTCAAATGACAAGTTTTACCAAATATCTTTAACAAATTGTCTTCAGATTTTATTTAAAACAATGTTGCAAAACTTCAACATTTTCTGGAAAGTGTCAAAGTGGTCTAGTTATAACTGCAAACTTTAAATTGTTGACTTTGCTCTGATCTCATCAGTTTATTTTTTAACTTGATTTTTTTAGTCTAAAACTGTTACAATGTGTGCATCACTCTAGGCTTTAAATAAATAAATAAATAAATAAATAAATAAATAAATAAATAAATAAATAAATAAATAAATAAAAACATATACAGTATTGTATCATGTCTTCTGCAAATTTAGTTCCAGCTTGGGACTGGCTGGAAGATTTTACAGAAAATCTATTAATCCACCATAAAAAGGAGTTGAAACAAAGTTTCAGAGGCTTGTTAGATCATATTTACATTATGATCCAAAAATCTGCTCAGCTTTGTTCAGCTTGGATGTTTCTAAAGAATCAACCCCACAATGAATAACTGTCACAGACAAGCAGAACATGACAGCCATCATATCACTTCTGTCTGCAACATTCCACTAAAACAATCACCCCATTGTCATTACCACAGTTTACCATTACAATATTTGATATTGTGTGGTCGATGGCAAGATGCGGTGGTGAATGAATGGGCATACACATTACACACACTCACACACTAACACACACACACACACAGATAAACCTCTAGAGGGAGCCGTACTCATCGTTGACAGGAGGCGCAGTCTTGACCAGAGTCTCTGAAGCCTCCACAAGTGGGCCTGAGGGGGGGAGGTCTGCTTCGTCTCCACTGGGCCAGGAAGGGTCAGCGGGCGGGCTCTCTAAGCTAATCAGGTCTGAGGGGGGCCGGGAGGGTCTTCCTGTGCCGTTTGTCAGCTCTAACTCTAAATGTGTGTTTTTGAGCTCTACGCTTGGAGCTGTTAGGTCGTACAGGTGTGACGCTGGTGTGAGGAGGTCAGAGGAAATCTGAGTGATGGGGAGAGGTGGGGAAACATCTGCCACTAAAGAAGAGGGGTTTTCAACATCCAGACGCTCAACAGCACTGGTGGTTTCTGAACTCGCAGCAGGTTTTGTCGTGGAAACGTTATCTACAGGTGACTCAGCAGGACCGTTTGTGTCGAAGTCAGTGAAGCTGCGTGAATCTGGAGCGTCAGCTTTATAATCTGGGTCTGGTTTTGGGGGGGCGGTATTTGCTGGAGTGGGAGCAGTTTGTGCCGGTGTCTCTGTGTTTAGGACTGCAGGGTTTGGCTGTGTGGTGAGCTTAGTGACTGGGGGGCTCGGAGCAGGTCTCTTGGTGTCCGGAGTGGTTGGGGAAGATGCAGAAGATAGAGCGAGGGGGGAGACAGGGGGGCTACTTTTAGCATTCAGAGCAGCAAGCTTAGGAGAGTGTCTGCGCTTCGGTGGTATTGGTGTTCCAGATTTTTGAGGTCTGGGCTGTTCAGGGCTACGAGGAGGATTGGTTATTTTCTCCTGCTCCTCTGAGGTGTTACTTCGTCTTTCTTCGAGTAAGGGGGCCATTTTGGCCTCTACAGCAGTCGAGGAGATGACCGGAGTTGTGGGGGCCGTGTTGGATTCTGGGGTCGGGGCCGGAGCAGCGAGAGGGGTGGGTGAGGGCTCGTTGGCCAGAGTGGACAGGCTGCAAGTGAGGGTAGTGGTCTCGCTAGAGGGGCTTTCCTGAGCAGGATCGTTTGTTGCGGTGGCTGTGTCAGAGTTGGTGGCTACGGAGGAGGGGGTGTCCAGTGCCAGAGAAGCCACCAGCCTGAGAGAGCAGGGAGAGAACAGAGACACACAGACTAGACACCAGGGTGACTGTGACAGAGGAAGGGTGGCCCGGACCAGAGCATGCAGAGGGATTAGTTGGCTTTAGAAATTCACACAAACATAGACAAAGCAACTCAAAAACAGCAGCTATTAAAGCCTAGTGAGAAAAAGAAAAGAAGAAAAGAAAAGGGTGTCATGCTGTGAGTGAACATTAAAGGATACATCCCATACACACACCAACATGGAGCACACTGACTAGGAAAACTAATGTACTAAAAAGGCACCAGCCTCCCTACACAAAAACTACAGAACCACATAGAACCACCTATAAGGGTTAAACAGTACCAGTGACAATCTCAAACTGTACAATCTTGTTTTTTTCAGACTCCTTATATGACATGGCTCACTGAGCGAGTCAAATGGCTTTATGAATTGACCACACTTAGGAGGAATGAAGCCTTTGTGTCTTTGACTGGTATTGCTTCAACCTTCATAAAATGAGACAGAAAATCTCCAAAGCTGAAGAAGAAACACAAAGTACTGTAAATTCCTCTGATGGGGAATAAAAAACAGAAAAGCAACAGAATCATTTGGACTCCACTCAAGAATGGCATCAACTTTTTAAAAATAAATTACAGGTCAAATTTAGTCCTGTTAAATAACACAATTATTCTTTGAAGTGGAGTGCAATGTACAACAGCTAAATAGACTTGGGCATTAAAAGGCCATGTGGCATTTTTCTCCAGCTTTAACTCACTCTGGCTTTGTGAGAGGTGTGGTTTCATTTGGTTCCATCGGTCCTGCTGCGTTGTGATTGGCTGTGCACTCGTCTTCTGTTCTGACTTCTACGATTGGCTCTTTGGACTCATCTTTCCTGTAAGGCAATGACAACAGTAAAGGTAACATTTCAGTTGATTACATCATCGTTGCCATTTTATTGGCTCAATAAGGTTTAAAACGAGGCAATGGGAGAGCATTAAACAGTCTTTCATGTCTTGAAACAGTATTAATCTGTTCAGCTGAGGATGTAAAATGTGCCGTGTATTTAAATGAAATCTTTCATACTCACACAAAAGCTGCTTTGCCCTCCTCCAAGTGGTGCCCTTTCGTCCCCGTGCCCGATTTGCCACAGAGGCACATGATAAGGCCACATTTGTTGACAAAGTAACAAGTGACGTCCACAGCCAGCAGCAGGAGTACAAATCCCACAACAAGGATCCCTGCCCAGAGCATGGTGCCCATGGAGAGCGCTCCTTCATCACCCAAATCTGCTAGACGAGAAGCAAAAATATAGAGAGCACCGAGCAACTGGAGCAGAAACACGCACACAAAAAGCTACTGTACTACTTTTACCACAAATAATTCTTTAAAAAAGAACTTACCTTTAACAGAGTGACTACTGATACACTTTGTTTTAGTCTGAGTTTTTGCTGTTTTATGTTGAGGTATTCAAATTTTCATTTACTGTTAAATACGGGGCATGATGAAKAATTTATGTAAAAAAATTAAATCAAAGACAAACATAAAAATTTGATCAAAGTTCAAAGCATTTATTTGGTATTAGAAATATGGGCAGATCAAAGTTTACAGGTTTGCTGGTTACATGCGGGATATTTTGTTGACACAAAATGTCGTTTTCAAGATTTTTACAAAAGTATATAAAGTGAAAATTGATTATAGTAGAATATTAATTATCTGCTGAATGCTAAAAGCTAATTATGGACTTTAAAAATATTGACATCAATCAGCCTTAACATTATGACTACTGACATGTAAAGTGAGAAAAGTCAAATCTAATCTCAATTTCTTTGTTCTATAGTCCTACAGTTTGTGTGTTCAGAGTGAGGAACCAAGTTGTGTGTGCTGTAGGAGAGTGAGGTGGTGAGGACTGGGCCAAACATTAGGAAAATGGGATTCAGCCTAACACACATTTTATTATGAGTTCTGTTGGGGGTTTTCTACGGTGGCCCTGAAGGGCACCGTAGTTTTCTTCAACTCTGGTATTTATATAAAAGCAATATTATTTTAAAACTTTGCCAACAATGTAAGTTAATCTGCAAACTAACTGTTTAATTATTGCTGATTGAGTATATTAAACTTTGTAGATAAAATAAGAAGGGTAAACAAGTCTGCTAGTGCAGCACCCTCAGATTATAAATATATTAAATCTTTCAAATTAAATGTAATTTTCTGATAAGATTTGATCTTTATTTCATGCATAAGAAATGCCAATAATTGTCTTCATAAAAATAAAAGTTATTATAATAATTCTGTTCACAGTTTGTCAACCTGTGCCAATATAAATAATAAAACTGTTTTTCTGAAGCTTTTCCTATTAGTGTTATTGTTCCAAACCTTTACAGTACATTTGCATAATTTCATGTAAAAGAATACAATAATGTTTATGTAAACAAACAGGTTCAGTACTCRGCACTCACTTGGCTCTAAAGTTTTTATGTCATTTTATTTTGCTTCCACTTGTGTTGATAACTGTAAACTCCTCTTTGCTGTCTAGTGATGACTATACTGAATGTGCTAATGCTGAGCAGTGAGAATCTGTGGGAGGCAAAGGTTTGTTTTTTGCTGCCTTTGGTTCAGTTTGTCTGGTCTGTTCTGAAGCAACACAACACTTTCTTCTTTTCTTTAATCGAGACACATCTGTCATGATAGAGCAGTCAAAGTATGTCCATTTGTCCGTTCATTCAGTCATTTAGGGAGAATTTAGAGTTACCAATGAACCTAACATGCATGTTTTTGATCTGTTGGAGGAAACCAGAGAAAACCCACAAGTGCTTGGGGAAAACATGCAAACTCCAAACAGAAATGCTCCAGGTCAGGAGGTGGTCCTGTGAAGCCATAGCTCTAACCACGCCTGTCAAAGTCAAGGTATATAAGTGTCCAGGGAGATAGCCAGGCCACAGAAAAGGCAAGCTGTCCTCTGTTGAAAGTCCTGAACATAAACTATGACAGCAGGAGCACAGTGATGAGGGACAGGATGAGGGACACCAAAGTGCATGTCACAGATGAGCAGCCCTGCTTGGCTGCAGGTGGAGACAGCACAACCCAGACCAAAATGCACACAGGTCAGGATGAAAGTGTTSACGTGGCCCACCACACCAATATCCAGGTTCAGGCAACAAAGCAGGAACAATGAACGAAGAGACCAAATGAGATCAGGAAGGAGGGGAAAAAAGGGGGGAACGGGAGGGTGGGGGAATGAAAGAAAACAAAGAGGGGAGGGAAAAAAGAGAGGCAGAGAGAAAGTGAAAATGTGTCACGTCTGAAAACCAAAAGTGAAAAATAAAATTAAGAAACCGATTTCTCGCATTGATGGAGGAAAAATACAGCAACACATTGAAGTCAAAGCATGACACAAAGAAAAGGAAAACCACACCATGCTGACTAGAGGGTGACTCAGAGGTGGGTGAGTGGAAAACGCTTTAGTTTGGAGAATGAATTAGGAAAAAAAAAGTGAGAGGAAGACATAAAGCTGTGCTCAACAGGGTCTAGCACCTATAGGGAAGTTGACAAGCTGTGTGGGTTTTCTACTGTTAGTAAAAAGCTGCTTCAGCTGAAGACCTCAGCAGACATGATAATTAAGAGTTATTTTAAGGACTCCTTCTAAACACAAACTACTTTACCTGTCATGTTAAATTAAAGAAAGATTAGAAAAAGCACAGTCATTCCGAGGAAATTATCCTCTATGGAATGTGCTCGTCCCAGTTCTGTGAGCACAAACTCAAGCTCATTCAGCAAGACCTGTCAAAACTTTAAAGCTAGAAAATTCATCCAGAAAATCTGTTTTTTTGCCCCCAATGCCATCCAGGAAATCTATTTTTTCCACCAGATTTATTTAGTTGTCTTTCATCCCCCCAGAGGAACAGTTATAAATAGACCACCACACTCAGGTTTTCAGCTTTGAGTTTGGCTCATCATTTTTCTGCTTGTTATGGTTCAGCTCATTGTGAGCGAGCAGAGGGAGGATACCTGGGATGGCCTCTGGCTTTGWGGATGTTCTGACGGACATGGTTGCAGGCTGGGACTTCCCTTTCTGATTCTCTGCCACCACGTAGACGTTATATTCTGTGTCCCAGTCCAACCCCCTGAGAACCACATGCTCACTGCCACTGGGCAGCCGGATCTCAGGTTTCCACTCTGTTGCCTGCATCTAAAGATAGAAACAAACACATTCAAAATGACAACTCTTAACCCAATTGGTTTTAATTTTGGCTGCAAAATAATAATGAAAGAAAAAAAAAGCTCACCTCTGCAAAATTTAAACAATCAAAATATTTGCCAATTAAATAAATATTCACATTTTGCTTGAAGAAATAACAGTTCGTTTAATGTACGGACATATGTGAAAAATGCTAAATGTTTTTGAGCTTTGGTTGGAAACTGTAGATGCATTTAAGAAGCATCATTGCGCATGACGATAAACAAAAACTGCGTATATTATACTGAAGTGAGATTGTGGGAGTCTTATCTAAACTGACAGCATACTCACGGGTTTATAGCGAATGAGATAGTGTAAGATGGGAGAGCCGCCATCATCCTGCTTAATCCAGCTCACTTTGAGGGAGTTTCCTGTAGGCTGCAGTGACCCTTCCAGTTTAGGAGGATTGGGATTTCCTAAAGGCACACATGAGCAGGACAGAGGCTATTTAACGATTTTTTTAAAGGATGCTGAGAAAAACAAAGGTTATTTTATGAGAAAGCCCGTTCTGTCAGTCCACCATTAACATTTTAGAGAAAAAAGGTAGAAAAAATAGGTTGGAAACAAGCCATTTTCTCTACTGGTTGTTTGATTAGGTCACATGACTTTCTTCCATTTGTCTTATAGTGGTGTGAGTCAAGTCGCACTAATCAGGAAGTGACACATTACCACGTGCTTATTTGATTCATGGAGTTGTTGTGCTCTGCTGCTGTCGCTCAGTGACCTTCAGCTGGAATAAAATATTCTGATGTCCCAGCTCAGAAACAAGGCTTCAAGTTTGAGTCATTTTTAATAACAGAAATGTTTTCACATCTCGCTGCACAACAAGTTCACCTGCCAAAGATAAACACTTGGTGTGTATCAACAAACAAAGTATTAACACACTGAGCCGTGTTTCATCTTTCATTAACTCAATTATAAGGTCAAACAGACTGCATCACATGACAGTTTAATGTCAGTCCATTTATTTTTAGTCTGTTTGTTTTTGCTAACGATGATCTAACAGACTGTTATCTGAAGAGTTTCTTAATATTTTATTAGTTTATTTTAGTCAGTTTGTTGTTGGACCAACCTGATCTCAATCTCGCTGCACATTGCAAGTTTATCAGACTTTTATCTTTGCTAAATCATTATTCAGATTAATGAACATTTACATATTAATAACTAGTTATCTTTCTGTCAGAGATTTTCTGTCCTTATATGTAAATAATAAAACAGGTTTCATCCCTATCATTTTTACAAGATCAAACAACACCATGAAGGAAATTTTGTAACTGATTAATTGAATAGTGGATGCAGTTTTGTATTTTATACCTTCTGATCATTTCAGCCTGTAAAGTTAAAGCAGACAAAGAGTTGGTGTGTTATCATGTGTTCTTTCTTTAGCCTAAACAAAATGAGTTACGTTCTGACGTCTGACATAAAAGGTAACACCTCCACGGATGTAACCAGGAAGAGTTACAGAAAAACGAAAACAATTGGTTGAATGCCTAAAGGCATTCAACCAATTGTTTTCGTTTTTCTCTATATTGTACGTTTTTCGGCATCTATCTCCTCCCACAGTTTTTGTCCGATTCGTACAATTCATATATCAAAACGTCCGGCTCATTAATGCCATGCCTGCTATATCTCCAGGGATTTCAGCTACTTATACTTTTTTAGCTATTTCACTTTTTAGCTGATTTTTTCCCCATTGACTTTGAATGGAGCTATGTTTCAACTGCTCTAAACCCTTCAAATTGATTATAATTCTTCACAGCTTTTCACATATTTTGCTTTGGTTATGCTTCCTTTAAATTTCTCATGCCAATTTTTGCTACTTGTTTGCTAACTTTAGCTGTTTTCTGCTATTTCAGCTATAGGTCTGCTACTTTTTGCTATTCTTCTGTTTTTTCCAGCTATATTTCTGCTTTTTCCTGCTATTCTGTACTTTTTATGCT